TATATATATATATATATATATATTGTGTGTGTGTGTGTGTGTGTGGTGTGTGTGTATATACATATGCATACATACATATGTATGCATACATAAAACACACACACACACACGTTTTTATCTCTCTCTCTGTCTCTCTCTCTCTCTCTCTCTCTCTCTCTCTCTCTCTATATAATATATATAATATATATATATATATATATATATATATATATGTATTATGTATATATATATATATATATATATATATATATATATATATATATATATATATATATATATATATATATGTATATATATATATATATATATATTATATATATATTATATATATATATGTGTGTGTGTGTGTGTGTGTGTGTGTGTGTGTGTGTGTGTGTGTGTGTGTGTGTGTGTGTGTGTGTGTGTGTGTGTGTGTGTGTGTGTGTGTGTGTGTGTATGTATGTATGTATACTCACAAACACATGTATGTATATATGTACAAAGTCATTCTCTATGAATTTCTCAACTAACAAAATGATTTTTACATATTCAGTTTGTTTTTCTGCTTATTCGCAATCTCTTATCCAACCTCCTTTATTTGCAGGCGAACGCCCATCTGAGAGTAGTGGTCTCTGAAGTTTTTTTTGTTTTTTGTTTTTTATTGTCTGTATTTTATTTTTCTGTATTTTTATGCCTTTTTATCGTGTTTTATTTTTTTCCATATTTTGTTTATATCTTTGGGGCGGATTCACTAACATACGATCTTAGCGCATTTACCAACGGTCATCTACCATTGCATTTACCAGTGATGTCAAAGTGGTATTCACGAAGAAATGGTAAATTAGATATGTTGAGTTACAACCGTAAATCGACTCATTCTAATGGTAGCCAACAGAGGGCTCTGGTAAAGCAATTCCACCAATCAGCGAGCGCTATACATATCTTTTAGGTTCCTTTGGCCAATCACGTAAATTTGCCTGGATTTTATTCTTGCTAGGTTCATGTGAATTTTACATTTCTTTACTATGATTAGATATTGATTTTCTGATGAGATATCATGCGATGACATCGTTTTCCAAGAAGTTACTAGTGCTCTGACCACTGGTATAATTTACCGTGGTAACTCGATGTTAGTGAATCTGGGCCTTGTATTGTAATTTACCTTTTTTATTCATTTTCTTACTATGTTTACTTGTGCGGGTTTTGGTTGTGAATTACTATGTTTAATTGTGCGGATTTTGGTTGTCACAAGTTTCTCGTTCAGCCAATCACGAACCACCAGTCGCCTTTTTCCCGCCAATTTCAGCAATTCACTTAGACCCTCGGAGCTGGCTAAACGTGTGGCCTTCTGTCTGTTTACGTGTTTTTATTGTGCTATTTTTTCTGTCTGTTAACTGTGATTTATACAGTGAGAAAAGATTTCCAGCAGCCCCAGCTCAAGATGGGCTCACTCGGCGAACTACCGAACAGGTGATTCACTGCAAGAGGACAACACCCTTCAAAGTAATATGGGGGTAAGTTTTTAATAGAGAATCAGGTTTCTCAACATCAGTCACAGAATAGGTCTCTAATTAGCCTAAAATAGACTGTTTTCCCTCTGAAAGAAATTGCAAAGCAATTTAGAATATGTGAATGGCCCTCATCAATGCGTTTCTGTGAATCAGGTTTCTTAACGTCAGTCACAGAATAGGTCTCTAAATAGCCTAACATACGAATACAACCAACCGCAGTTTACAAGTAACCTGGGAAATTACATGTGTATAGCATCTTGTGGAGACAGCAAAGAGGATAAGGGACACCCTCGCTCTCACTCCTTTAGCAACATAGTGTATAGTAACTGGATTGCAACAGGTGTAGAACCCCACCATTAAAGTGGGAATCTGGAACTACAAGTGGGTCGTGAAAGTGCAGTCAACGTGACTGCAGGGCCAGTCCACTTTGCTGTTAATGCCGTTACAGTCCTTGAAACCCCCGTACCTAAATGTTCAACTTCAGTCAATCCTGAACTAAATGGAGCTAGTATTGCCCAGCGTAAGCTCTCCATTACGCTAACTTACTACTACCATTACACAACCTAATGAGAACCTATTGACACGGAAGCTGCACCTTTTGTAAACTCCAACAGAGTACCTTGCTACCATACCTTAGGCCATGAGTTCACCAGCCATCCAACACCTTCAAGGGCATTGAATGTGGATGAAGTGGATCAGATGAACCAGTCCGTTTTAACCCAACAAGAACAGGCTCACATATCATTATTCCATTAAAATTTGAACGTTTTGATCGAGATTTTTCAAAATTCTCTCAGTTCTGTAGGACATTTGAATGGAATGTTGAGAGCAACACTAATGACCCAAGGCAAATGCTTACACAACTCTACAACCAGTTGGATGGCTCACCAATGGACCTTATTGAAGGTTGCCATCACCTACCACCTGACCATGGATATATTGAAGCGTGGAGGATACTGAGAGAAGGATATGAGAACTCCAATGAACTCCTCGAGTCCTTCATTGCAAAATTATTTGTATGGGAAGACATTGAAGTTGGAGATGTAGGTCTAAAAATATATGGCTCCTACTTATTTAATTTAGATATGGCCTTAGGTGATAATAGTTGCATAAGACAATATCTAAAATCGTTGGTAAGCTGCCGAGATACTTGAGAACTAAGTGGGCCTCGAGATGTGTAGACTCTGACACTAAATCTGCAAGTTCATTCTCTTCACTTGTTAAATTTGTTAAAGATCAAGCTAGGGTAACAGAGGAAATATATTATATTGAAGCAGGAAGAGGTAAGCCAAGTCACACGACCAATAAACCCGTCTCCGTCATTCGTGTCTGTTAATAGTTCAAATGTCCATGCTTTGGATGTGAACACAATGGATATGACCCCAAGTAGCACTTCCAACCAATTGTGAAATAGCTGTACGTAGAATGAAAGTCCTCAAAAGGAAGCTGGAATCTGACAAGACTTTCAGGGAGACATACATCACTCAAATGGAAAAGAATATAACTAAACAGTATGTTGAAATAGTACCTCCATCAGGTTTAGAACGAAATAATGAAAGAATATGGTACATGCCACATCATGCTGTGCGTCATCCCATTAAGCTGAAGGTACATGTTGTCTATAACCTTAAAGCTAAATTCAATGGCACTTCCCTTAATGATCATCTGCTTCAAAGGCTAGACCTCACAAATCCTCTAATAGGTGTATTCATACGGTTCAGACATGGCCATTATGCAGTCACAGCGGACATCGAGATGTTTAGTCAGGTCAAGGTTTCCCTAGAGGATCGTCATGTGTTTCATTTTTAATGGTGGCCAGATGGTAATATCAATAAGCCTATGCATAATTACCGAGTGAATGTTTGTTTTTTGGTGCTAGATCCTCTCCTAGTAAATTATGGAAGACAGCTGAGGACCACGGTGATATTTTTTATGAATAAGCTGTCATTGCCATAATAAGTTTTTATGTTGATCTCCTACTGGGCCATGATAACATAGAGAGACTGATAAAAATCATGAAAAATCTCATTGCTCTCTGTAATGCACCAATGGACAGCCAATAACAAGAATGTGCTCAGGAAGACTCATGAATCAGATGCATCAGTTGCTTCTCTAGACCTCAATAAGGATGATCTCCCAGTTGAAAGGACCTTGGGTGTACACTAGTCGATGGCTGAAGATCGCTTCATTCAAAATATGCCTTAGTGACAAGCCACTAACACGCTGAGGAGTTCTAACGTGGCATCTATGTATGACCCACTTGGTGGCGTGCTTGACACTAACAGCAAAAATTATTTTTGAAGACATGTGTCAGATGCAGTTAGGCTGGGATGAAAATATGGGTGATAGGGAAGCTACTCGTTGGAGAAATGGTTAGAACAGTTACCCAAGCTATCAAGATTTAAGCTGCCACAAGGCCAAGTGCCCATTTCCTTTGGTTCAGTCATTTCCTATCAACTCCATCACTTTGCAGATGCATCAGTCTGGTTATGGCACAGCATCCTACTTAAAGATGGTAAATGCCTCAGAAAAGGCACTTTGGTTATGGCACGAGCACCTCTGAAACCGACAACTATTCTAAGGCTAGAACTGACAGCTGCCACCGTTGCAGCTCGAATGGACTGTAAATTACGAAAGGAACTGGGGTTGAAGCTGGAAGATTCGGTCTTCTGGACAGACAGCACTTCAGTACTCAAGTACCTGTTCAATTAGAAGGCTCGTTACCACACCTTTGTCACAAATCGAGTGAACCTAATCCGAGAACTGTTTTCAACAAGTGCTTGCAGATATATAGACACAAACAATAATCCTGCTGACTTTGCATCTAGAGGTCTTGAAGTTGATACTTTATTAAAGCCTGAAATGTGGATTAGAGGACCAAGATTTCTTCATGACCCTGAATCCAGCTGGTCGCAAGTTCCAGATGTTAAATATGGATAACTGGAAGATCCATGGTATGCAAGACAGTGACAACAGTAACGTCATTCACTAAGGAGTTTGCCTCTCGCTTCTCAAACTGGCAGAAGTTTGTGCGTTGTCATACATGGGTCAGACGATTCTTGAAGCGAAAGTATGTACCAAAGTTGCCTGACGTTAACTGCCTTAGTAGCAAAGAAATAACTGTAGCAGACACACATATGGAACAAGTTCAGTAAGAGAACTAAACATCTGAATTGCCTCTCTGTCACGTAGGCCAGATGGGAGAGTACAACCTCAAGCAAGATAGTGTGATTAAGACCTTTTCTACAAGATGGCCTGCTTAGGGTAGGTGGGTGACTAAGACACTCTGGGCGTGACCTCAATGCCACTCATCCAATTATCCTACCCAGTAAGTCATTTTTGGTGAAACTGATGGTGAGGAGGCATCACGAGGTCAGCTCACTGTGGTCAAAATTATCTTCTCTCTAAGTTAAGACAAAAATTTTGGGTTCATGCAAATCCTGTTGCAAGTTCTGTAGTAGGGAGTTGTATGAAGTGCAGTTCATCATTGCAAGACCAATGACTCAAGCGATGGCTGACCTTCCTGAAGATCGTATTATACCAGGTTAGCCACCATTTACACATGGGCACCGACTGTTTTGGACCCTTTCATCAGGAAAGGCTGGTCAGACTTAAAGAACAATGGCATAGTCTTTACATGCCTCACATCACATTCCGTCCATATTGAGGTCATGGACTCAATGGAAACG